CGGCCGTTGAGGCGGTGTGGGAGCCGTGACCGTCGGGATCACGTGGGGAGAGGAAGTCTTTGTTGGCAGTCACGTTGAAGGTTCCGTATCCGTTCATGTACCCTTTCACGTAGTACCTGGCTCCTATAATTTTCCTGCAATTCAAAATACAATGCGTTAATTCTGACCAAATGACAGTGAAATTAGATACAATGCAATCCCTAATATATGATATAATGCTCGAATTATGGTTAAACAATTTGACTGTAATGTTTGTACACTGAAAATCACATGTCAAATACACTAAAGATTTTGTCTATTAACCATCATTAGACTGCCAAACCTATATATATAGGTTAAATCTAAACCCATATCTACATTTATATATATAAAAAATGATGTTAACTGGCATAATTTTGTGGTAGTAAGCATATATATATATATATAATGTATATGTACGTATTGATGGCGGAAACGAGACATTGATAGTGAAGCAAACAAGAGAGTTCACGGGTGTTGTTCAGAATTATACAGGAAGAATCAAGAAGGTTATTTTGTCTCTTCTCATCTGTCGACATTCAAGATATGGGGTTCAACTTCAACGCGGTGTCCTAAACAAGCAGTATAACCGCAATACATGTATCATTCTTTTTATAATATATATATATATACATACATATACATATATACTGTAATAAGACGTTATTGTATGTAATTAAATAATATAGGAAGAGTAAAGAGTAAACCTGTTGCAGTGGGAAGAGTTAAAAGCAGTCCCGGTTTGGCAGGTTCCTTTCCATGACTTTGGGACGGGACCCATCCCTTTGTCACTGAAGCTCTTCGATTCTGGCCACACGCCTAATTTCACATCTCTTCCCATTTTCAGTATAATACACTCAAAACCCTAATTCTGTCTGTACATTTCATGTATATATATGAATGATCTTTTGTCGTCATAAGAAACGACACATATATATATATATATATAGTATACGTGTCTCTTCAAATGCGACGAATAAGATGTGCATATCAAAGTGTTAGCTAGTATTCGTGCAACTTATGACGCTATTTAAAAAAAAGTTAGGCTCCAACAAGTTAGGCATCGAGAAACAGTGATCGCGAAGACCTTGATTGATATCTTTTGAATGAGAAAGTCTCGTTCTTCTGGCTACGATTTCGGATTTAAGATCAAATCGATAATCATATGCTATGAACAAGATTGGAAAGAGAGAGAGAGAGAGAGAGAGAGAGAGAGATGGGGAGCAAATAAGGGAAACAGGAAACAAAAGGAAAACACGTGGAGGGCGTTGGCTTCGAGAAGAATACAAAGAGGAGAGGATAAACCATAAGCTCACATGAATGGCAAAGTTGCTTAGAAAGACACAATCTTTTCAAATTTTGTTGCTTTTTGGACGTAAAGAACTTAAATTTATTCAATAGTATGTATGCTCAATGAAATGCAACACACGCACACCATACGTGCAATGATGCTCTTAAGCCATTGTAATATATAAAGCTTCAAAATTTTATTCGGCAGAGATCAAATCAAATAATTATAGTATTTTTAAAAACTTATAAATGAAGGGTTTATAGTAAAACTCACCGCTATCAAGGACACCGACGATGATTCCATCGCCGTATTTGGCCTTTTTCAGAACCTTTCTTCCGAT